GGATTAGGCTACAAGACTTGAGATATTCAAAGTATTCTTTAGGGAAAAGAACAAAGATTGATACATGACAGTACCTGACTTCAAACATTTTACAAATTTTATAATTTTATCAAAAAGAGTGTGCTTTCCCTTATTTGCAATAACTAGTATATGTCTGAGACAAGGAGAAATGGTCAGACAAGTTGATGTTAGGCAAAATGAACCCAAAGAGGGCTGGGAAGGTGGCTCAGTGGTAGAGCACTTGCCTTGCTCTCATGAGGCCCTGGGCTCAATTCCTCAGCACCACATAAGCAAAAAGAAAAAAGCCGGAAGTGGCGCTGTGGCTCAAGTGGTAGAGCGCTAGCCTTGAGCTGAGAAGCTGAGGGACAGCGCCCAGGCCCAGAGTTCAGGCCCCACTACTGGACCGCCAAAAAAATGAACCCCAAGGTAAGAACTCAAATTGTTTTTCTTTCTTGCTATTGTTTCTAACATATTTATAAGATGATTCCTTTGTTGCTTTGTATGTCCCTCCACGACGGTATAACCCCTTTTTCACTGCATTTGATGTTGGTATAATTTGTGGAGGGGAAGAAAAACAAATCGTTTAAATAGGGATACAGGTGGACCCATTGCAACAATGAGATGTACAAGTCGTTATGTCGAAAAAAGAACTTTATAACTAGGGGGAGAGATTGGGTGGGGAGCGAGAAGGGCAGGGATGGGAAGGGGAAACAAAGGAGGAGGCAACAATGCTTGATAAGAAATGTACTCATTATCTTGCTCATGTAATTGTAACTCCTCTGTATGGAATTTTCACAATAAAAATTATTAATAAAAAATCAGCATGGAAATGGTATAAAAGATGAGCACTATTCAACAAAATCATATAGAACACCCAGACATAAATTCACTCACAGGAACTCAACTGATTTTTGACAATGTTCCAAGAATGCAAATTGGGAGAATGACCTTGGGAAAAATCTCTATTCACAAGCAGAACATACATGCATACATTAGCTCAAAATTATTAAAGATTTAAAAGTAGTATAGTCATGAAATGTATGCATATCCTACAAAATTTAAAATGTTGAGGGATGGGATGGTGTTGGAAGAAACAGAGGAGAATGATGAAAGGGACGGCATTGATAAAGATTCATTGTATCTGGGCACCCATGACTCATGCCTATAATCTTAGCTACTTGGGAATCTGAGATCTGAGAATTTGGGTTGGAAGGCAGCTCTGGCAGGCAAGCCCAAATCTCCAATTAACCAGCAGAAAAGCTGTGACTAGTGTCAGTGCAGTGTTAGAACACTAGCTTGAGGCAACTTAAGCTTATAGACACACTGACGCACTTAGAATTGTGCAAGTAACACATATTTTTGATGCAAGTTTGCTTCACTGCGGACTATTAATAGTAGATCTCCTAAAACACCAATAGAGTAAAGGAATCTCGATAAAACCCAATTTGTTATAAGAGAAGAGAACTGGTTGAATTATAGGTAATGAACATGTAACTTTGCTTAAAAAAGGTTAGAGAGTATGTTCAGAAAGACAGAAGATTCTAATATGCACAATGCCTAGACCTAGGTAGACAATATACAGTGGATGCACAATCCTATGACCCAATTCTTAAATGAGAAGTTATGAAAAATTCATTATATCCCAAATCAAAACCAAATTAGTTAAAAGATATGAACTGTTGTTTTTCCTTTTGAAAATATTCTTAATTTCAGGTTTACTAGAATACAATTGGTTTCATACATCTTGTCCTTTGTAAATTATATTGAATTATATTGGATTAGTTTAATAAGAAAATAATTACCTTTCATAGATATATGACTAGAGAAGGAAAATTAGTTTACTAGGGATTACATGTCTTCTTTAATTCTGTAACAGCACTTGACAATTTCTGATGTCTTAAAAATAGAATTTATACGTCGTAAGTCCTTTAATGATTTTTCATATTATGATAAACATATTTAGCATTTTATTTGGATAATGCACCAATTTTTTAACATTGTGTACATTTATCTAGAGAAAACTAGCCTACAGTGTGATATAGCTGTTTAAAAAGACAGAATATCTGACTGAACAATGATGAAATGGACTTGCTCTGAAGTTAATTAATTTCAAAATGAGGCAAGAATGGGAAAATTTATTGACTGATGATGTTAAAAATGTATACATATTTCCATACTATGAAGTCTTACATACATATATTATTGCTAATAGAAAGCTCCAATAGATATTTAATTGATCTCAGTGGGATAGCCAATCTTCAGTTCCAATTAGAAGTTAAAGGAGGTCAGGTCAGCCTCCAGGAACAATGAATTTTCTAGGTCTCCAGAGGACATCAAAAGTGTGACCCACACATGTTCTTATTAACAATGAACTTCCCTGCCTATAAATAATTCAAAAGAAAAGCTGTTTATGTTCAAAATATAAGAAGTAGCTTTGATATTCTTTCACCAAAGTAAAGAAAAAGAAGCAAGAAGCAATCTGTCTTTAAATTCTTCAAAAGCAAAGCAAAGGCAAAGGTAGACAAGTTTTTCATCTCTTTTCATGTGATTTTTATATTTATATTTTTCTTAATACTAATAAAATACTAATACCATTTTTATTAATATTAATATGATATGTGTTGAAATGTTAAACATGCTTAAGAATTTCAGCTCGAAACAATTTATGCATATTAATAAGATACATGGATTTTCTCAGATTTTATTCTATTTTTAGATTTTTTGTTATTTTCAGTATTTTTTAATGACATTAGAAGATCTGAACCAGGTCAAAAAGTAAAACTATCAAGATTGAATTTTTTCCTTGGAATTAATCAACAAAATCCAATGAATTAAATATTTCTTGACCTGAATCTGAAATGATAACTAAGAAATTTACAAGAGGAAACAGTTACTATGCAGTTTTGTGGAAATCAAATTACTTGTAAAAGTGGTCTTAAAAACAGATAAGGTTTCAGGGCTGAGAACGTGGCTCAGTGGTAGAATGCTTGCCTTGCATGCATGAAGCCCTTGGTTCAATTCCTCAGCACCACATAAGCAGAAAAAGCCAGAATTGGTGCTGTGGCTCAAGTGGTAAAGCACTAGACTTGAGCTCAAGAGCTGAGGGATAGCACCCAGGCCCAGAGTTCAGGCCCCACGACCGACAAAACAAAAAAACAAAAAAAAACACCAAAAACAGATAAGGTTTCAAGTAGGGTTATTATATGAATAAGAATTGAATTTTATGGTATATTAATGAGATAATAATTGTCACTATGGTATATACATATCTGATATGTATATATCATATAGAATTATATCATATATATCTATGCATAAATATGTATAAGTATATGAATTGAGTTTACTTATATATAATTTGTTTTTCACTTTTCTTATAAAGAATGGGATTAGAAATATCATGCATTTTCATACACAATTTTAGAAATTAAACTAAATACTTCATAAATATCAATAAGAAAATGAATGAAGCTCATGAATAAACCCTGAACCTTGTCCCCTACACAAAAATATTCATTAGGCCATCATGATGCAATCTGAGAATTAGTGTAAAGTCAATTTAGCATTGGGAAATTTGAATTCTTTGAATTTAGGAGAAAACAAAACAGGTAATCTGAAGAGATGGAGAAAAACAAGAATTATAATGACCCAGAGCTATTTTGATACTTTGAATAAGAAAATTAAAAATTGTTGTAAGGGTGGTTTGGTTCAGTAATGTGAACTTCATAAATTAATATTAGTTTTTATATGTAGTACCATTCCCTGATCAAAGCAAGAGAACAAGCTGGATATGCAAGACTGCATAATACAAAGGATTATCAGAAAAAGAAATGAGTTTTGAAAATTTGCTGACCTTCAGAATGTTATACAAGTAGATCAAGATTACTAACTTATCATTCTTCACACGAAAAGTAAACAGTTATGAACATTTATGTAATGTCAAACTAATTGCATACAAAGTGTTAAAAAGAACAAATAATAACATTTACTATAATCATTAATCAATCAAAAATACATCTCCAAGAAAATAAGATATTTATCTTTCTCTAAGAAAATAAATTCAATAATGGAAGTATAAGATCTAAAAAGACTGTGGCTCCAAATGTATCAAAACAAGCCCAATTGAATGAATTGAATTAAAAATAATTTAGCCTAAGATTTAGCAATAGCTATAAGAGTACTGGAAGAGAGATTTGGAAGTGTTGCTACTTTACTAAATATTGGAACCTGTGCTTAGAAGAGAATACATTCATGGGAATGACTGAGACAGATAGCTTTGGATAAAATTCAGATGTGGAAGTACATTCAAAGGAAATGGCTGTGCTTTGTCAGTAGACAAAGGAGTTTTTCTGGGTTAAATCAAATTTCAAATTTCATGTATGATGTAAAGAAGGAAAGAGGTAACAAATATGTCTTCAAGAACAAAGATGAGGCTACTATAGTACAACATAACTGGTATCATTTAGATTAAAATCAATAAAAATAAATCTCAGATGATTTTTTAATTTATACTAGAAAAACTTTCTGAAGCAGTTAGCCACAAAAGACACACCAATTTATTCTTGAACCATGCTACCTGAGTAACATTTGTCAAATTTCAGTGCCCAAAGACTTAATATGGAAGCTCTCAAAATTGAAGTAAATATGACATTGATAATTCCAATTAAAATAAGAGTACTTATTTTACATATTTACAAGGTAAATGTATTTAAATGAACAATATGTAGGATTTAATTTGATTTAAACATTTTTGTGCCCAGTTTCTTATTCCATAAATGCTAACATTCAGAGAATATCTCTGCAGATTTAGAAAGAAACCCCAAATGAAAATGTATTCAGCAATTAAATTTCAAGATAATTTATCCTGTTATTCTAGCTTCAAGTCCTCATAAAAGCCACAGATTGGTATGAATGTCTGAATGTATTTGAACTTATGATGGGTTGTCTACATTCTTCTTGCTGTCATTTCAATATAGGGCTCTGGCAGCATATTAGCAGACATGGACAATATCACCTTCTTCACAGAATTCCTCCTCATGGATGTCTCCAACTCCAGAGAGCTCCAACTTTTGCAAAGTCTACTATTCTTAGTCATTTATCTGGGAGCACTAATTGGGAATCTTATGACTATTATTCTAATTGTGACAGACAACCATCTCCATTCTCCAATGTACTTTTTTGTAAGTAATTTGTCCTTCATAGACCTCTGTAGCATCTCAGTTATTGTTCCCAAATCCATAGTGAATTCCATGACAGGCAATAAGACAATCACCCTGACAGAATGTGCTGCTCAGGTTTTCCTGTTTATATTCCTTGCATGTACAGAGCTTGCCTTCCTTGTGGTCATGGTCTATGATCGCTATGTTGCCATCTGCCGCCCTCTGCACTACGGACTCATTGTCACCCCGAGGATGTGTGCCCAGGCAGCAGGTGGCTCCTGGGCCTCTGGTCTGGTCTATTCTACTGTCCACACCTATGCCATGTTCAGGCTTCCATTTACAAAGACCAATGTGATCCAGCAATTTTTCTGTGAGATACCTCAAATTTTGAGAATATCAACTTCAAGTGTTCTGTTTTCTGAATCTATAATCACTACTGTTAGTGTTTGCCTCGTCTTAGGATGTTTCGTCTTTATGCTTACATCATACATCAATATATTTTCAACTGTGCTGAAGATACATTCCATAGAAGCCCAGAACAAAGCTTTCTCCACCTGTTCCCCACAGCTGGCAATTCTCCTTTTGTTTATAATTTCAGGGTCTGTGGCTTCCTTAGGTCCTATTGCAAATAAAGCATCCATTCAAAATCTGCTGACAGCCATGTTCTACACCATGGTGCCCCCATTCACAAACCCTATCATCTACAGTCTCCGTAACAGGGAGATTAACTCGGCTCTAAGCAGAATGCTCACTAAGTATTCTCAGTTTCCAGTCAATGATTTTCTTTACTAAAAGTGATGAATAATTCCATCTGAAAATAATTTGGTTTGTAACTGATATTTGTACTCAAGTGTGCATCTATGCCTGTGATTCGTATCTTTTATAGTGTTCAGTGTAGATTTCTACTGTCAACACGCTTGATAGTGAACTGCAGCTATCTGTCTACATTCTTTTCCTAAGCACTATATTAGTATATTTCACAGACATTTCACATACTATAAGAAAAATCTGGTCAACATTGAAAAATATTTAAAATTTCGAGGGAATTTTTGGTCCAAAAAGGAAAAAAGAGATGGGTGCCAATGGCTTTTGCCAGCAAACCTAGCTACTCAGAAGGTTGAGATCTGAGGATCACAGGTTGCAACCAGCCCCGGCAGCAAAGTCCGTAAGACTCTTATCTCTAATTAATTACTAGAAAAAACAAAAATGGCACTGTGACTCAAAGTGGCAGAGTGCAAGCCTTAAGCAAAACAAGCTCCAGAACACCAGGTACCAGTGGCTGACGCCTGTAATCCTAGCTACTCAGGAGGCTGAGATCTGAGGATCATGGTTCAAAGCCAGTCTGGGCAGGAACAGTTGTGAAACTCTTATCTCCAATAAACAACCACAAAGCCGGAAGTGGCACTGTGGCTCAAGTGGTAGAACACTAGCCTTGAGCTGAAGAGCTGAGGGACAGTGCCCAGGCCCAGAGTACAAGACCCATGACTGACAAAAAAAAAAAAAAAAGCTCAGGAACAGCACCCTGGCCCTGAGTTCAAGCCTGGTGACTGACAAAAATTAATTAATCAATTATATAAATAAAAAGGAATACAGAGGTCATGAAAAGTCCATGCTTTTGTGCATTCCTACTTTATCAGGCACCTCTAGTTTTATAAGAACTTTAGGGCCCTGGACTTTGCTACCTTGGATGAATTTGGATGGTTGCACTAGAGAACCCTACTGTTTACATTGTCCCTTTACAATATCTCTTTGACAAGGGCTAGAATAATTTTGCACAAGGGCTAGAATAATTAGCAATACAATTACTACATGGAGAAAACTAAGTAACCAAGGATACAGAACAGAGATTCACCTAACACCCTCCTCACTCCCAGCATCATTGGATGATATCTCTGAAGTTCCTGTAATTTCTGTTGCTTCATTCTGTAAAAAGTAATATACAAAACAACTGCCCTTCAACACAAACTGTGGCTAGAACACCTTAGGTTTGTCCATGAGCTGTGTCAAAAGTAATGTATACCACACTTGATTTGTTCAAATTGGGTATTGATTAATGAGTCAGATTATAGAATGGAGACAGATGACTATCACTGCCTGAAATTTAACTAGATTGAAATAGATACTGTTTGTCCTGTGTGATATTTTCCCCAGCATCTAAAGCATACAAATAGATTCCTTCCAAGTAGTAATTGTTTTATTTTTCTGATTATATACATTATCATTTTCTTTTAACTGACTCTCAAACTGTCTTCCTTGTAATAAGAATCCCTATCTTGAAAAGTCTCTGCATGTAGAAACTCATTCCTGTTCATTTATCATCAGCTGGATCTGGTGTTACAACATATTGATCAGCATCATTTGTACTACTTAATTTAAAATGCACAAGAAATAGTGTCTTCCTATTTGTGTGAGCCTCAGTTAGCCAGAGCTAGTAATCTTAGGCAACTTCTGAGCTATTATTACCTTCCTCCAAAGATGTTCAATGTTTTTGATAATTGAAGATTTTTTCACATTGGTTTACCTTTGAAAATGAAAAATTGTATGTAAGGCACATCAACTTCATGATTCATATCTATACAATGAGTATTTGCCACATTTTTATAAAATGTATTTTATCATGCTTGTTTTATCTTTATACTCATTTTAACAGAAAATATATACATATAATTTTATATTTAAATAACACTAAAAGAATAAGTGCTGCCTATGTAAATCTTTACATGTGTAATTATACATTTGTTTTGCTGAATTTCATTTTCTTTTTTTTTTTGTTCATCATGGGGTTTGATCTCGGGCCTGAGTGCTGTCCCTCAGCTCTTCAGGTCAAGGCTTGTGCTCTACCACAAAACATCACTTCCGGTTTTCTGTTGGTTTATTGGAGATAAGAGTCTCACAGACTTTCCTGTCCCGGCAGGCTTTGAACTAGGATTCTCAGATCTCAGCCTCCTGAATAGCTAGGATTACAGGCGTGAGCCACCAGAGCCTGGGTGCCCAATTACATCAATTTATATGTTCACTTTTGTTCCAGGCTATTTTACTGCAGATACAGGAATATACAAGTATATTATTTCAAATTTCCAGAAATATTGGGGAAAAAATGTTTTTCTGATCCTTTTTCCTTTAGAGTTTCTCCCAGGACATACTAGTATTTCTATTAACAGATTTATGTAGATTTATGTAATCTCACACTAATATATATATATATATATATATATTTCCATTAAAGTATCAATTGAATTATTTTTTCAATCATGAAAGAATTGTTTTCCTATGATTTTGGAAGTCAATTTTCCTTATTAGTATTAATTCAAATAACACTCATAATTTTGGAGACAATGTTATGTTTTCATACTGTTTTACAAAGTGGAAGATTTATAAGGAACTAATTTAAAATGTGCCACATCACATCACAAACTCACAATTTCTAAGAATGAATCATAATAACCCGTGGGCCCTGATAGTCTAACTGGAAGGGGGCCAAGCGTCCGGAGGCTGATGTCACTGCCCCATGAAGCATGCTGCTGGAGGGTGAGGAGTCAAGCCCCACAAGTCAAGAGGTGATTGGTCAGTGGGCAGCATGGGGAAGGGCATGAATGGAGGCTGAGAACTGTTAAGGCAAGAGACCCCTTGGAGTGGGGGAGGAGCGCAGCCTATATATATAGGTCACAGGTTCGGAGCAAGGGCAGTTAAGAGTTGACTAAGCTTGGAGAAAGGAGGGAACACCAGGGGAAGACCTGGGAAGTTAAGTTAGTTAAACAAGCTTGGAAGTTGAAGAAGAAAGAGAGCAGGTGGAGAGTGAAAGGAGAGCTAAAGAACAAGTTGGCAAACAGAGAGAGAGCCAGCAGGGGAGAGAAGAAGTTGCCTACTGGAGGAAAGTAAATTAAAAGGGAAAAAACAAGCTACCCGAAGAAAACTAATTAAAGGGAAACAGCAGAAGAGAAGAGAAGGCCACAAGCTACCTACCTGAAGGAAACAAAGGAAACTGATAGAGAGCAGGAGGGGAAAGAGAGGAAAAGTCTTGCCGTGTGGAGCCTTGGAGCTTTGGAGGTCGAGGCAGCTCTTGCCCTTTCTACTGTTAATAAAACTCTTGTTATTCTAACCGTGCCTCGATGGATTGTCTCGCACTTAAGAGGTCCTAATAGAATCATGTATAAACTGGGCGATGGTGGCTCACATAATCCTAGCTACTTAGGAAGCTGAGATATAAGGATTGCTTTTCAATACCAGCCAGAGCGGGAAAGTCCATGAAACGCTTATGTCCAGTAAACCACCAGAATACCAGAAGAGGCTGTATGTCTCAAGTGGTAGAGCGTTAGCCTTGAGCTGAAGAGCTGAGGAACAGTGCTCAGGACCAGAGTTCAAGTCCCACTATGGACAAAAAAGAAAAAAGGGAAAAAAAGTAGCATTTACTCATTTGACAATTTTAAAACATGTAACAGTAATTTTTTGTTATTTTTTGTGAATCAAACCCAGAACTTTATGCATGCTAGGCAAATACTCTACCATTAAGTCACATTCCCATCCCAATGCAATAATTTTTATACTGTATACCATGTGTAATCCATTAGTATAGATTCTCCCTAAAGGAAATTTTGTATTCTGATTAAGATCCCTCCATTACCCATATAACCCATCTGATTCTGGTAACAATCATTTGGATCTCTAGATAAGTCTATCCAACATGTTTTACACATATCAGATCTTTTACCTACTAAATTGAACTTAATACCTATACTATTTGAATGCTACTTTCAGTGGGAGTATATATCTATATTCCTTTAAGATAGTTTGTATTTAGAGCAAGATATATTACGTAGTTCTCTATATTTGTATCTTGCAGAATTTACCAAGCATTTCTTGTTGGAGCCTTTGGAATTTCCAATGTCATAAGCAAAACATTTGACCTCCTTTTTACTTCTTGATGTAATTCAGCCATTCATTTTGTATAGTCTAAGCTTGTAGTCACTATATCACATCCCATGACAAAGACAAAGGTCCTAACTGCCCTGGAAGGCGAGCAGAGCTCCTGATGGAGGTGGGTGAAGGTTGGCAGCCCGGCGGTTAGGCTGGTACATGGACAGAAATGGTAGCACAATCCCCACACGTGCCCACCGGAAGTGCCCTAAGATTTACTGGCCGCTTACGAGCCTGTGTATTTACTAGCTGCTCTCCGCTTCCCCCAGACTTTTAAAAGATGAATTTGGGGCCATCAGGACATTCCAGATGAGAAGATGTTGCTGACGTTCAATAAAGTAGAGGTAAAATGTCACACTTGTGGGTGCCCATTTGTAAAAGCCATAGAAATGTATTCTGGAAGTGACTTTGAATGGCAAGGTTAGACCACCTCAGGCAGGACAGCCTGAGCGACACTCGACCGTGTGTCTTTCTTGGGTTGAAGGACATGGACTCAAGACTCATGAGAAGAAAGAGAAGGAGCCAGAGAAGACATTTTTCAATGGCATCCTTTGATCTGTGTGCATCTCATTCCCTTGCTGCATATAGAGTTGACTGTGCTAAGTACTTTTGATGCTCTGAAGTGCCTCGCGTATTCTTTAAGTAGGGGCAGGAAAATAACACCTTTTATAATTGTCTTTTTCTTAAAATTCATATGAAATGTATTGGGGGAACGAGGCTGACACCTTGAGTTGTAGGCATGGTTCTTATGCCCTTGTTCCGAGGAGAAAGAAATGCAAAGAGGGTCACAAAGACTTACAGTGAAGAGGAACATGATCCCATATTGTTTTACTTTCTTGCATACATATTGTATATAAAAGACAAAGGAATCCTTATTT